CATTTTATCTTAGAAAATCTTTAATTTTCTGATGCATTTTATGCATTTTTAATTATTTAATAGAGAGTGTCACAATGAATGTTAAGGCAAATAACAAATTTTAGATAGAATAGTTTTAAGGAAGAATTATTCTTTTCACAATATGAATCTAATTAGATACACAAATTAACACGATTATCGTTCCATTATCAGACATCCCGAAACGGGAATATGCCCGAGGATGACACCTTGTAAGTATGACTATCTATGAAATATTATGTGTAACACACGCATGACAAGATCGCGAACAGCACCGACACCAGTTACTGATCTCCCGATTCTCGCCGCGATCCGGGAGCATCCTGTGCACCCGATGCACCCCCTTTTACGCACTTCCTCCAGCCACCGTCGAGTTTCCTTTACAGGTATACCCATGCGCACTACACGAAAAACGAAAGAGGCAGCATCGAAGGAAGAAGGTGAACCTTATTCGCGTATCGAACATTTCCATCACACAGATAGTCAGTACAAATCCCGTGAACACAAAAGGTTACGAACCAATAGCGTCAGGGTGGGCGGTCACATTGGTATCTCTTTATTTTTAATGAGATGCAGATTCTTGTCATTTTTCATATAAAATGATGATAACGTTTGTTGCCACGACGCGTACCATTATAATGCCTTTTATGAGACTTCGCGTACGGAGAATATTTTAGCATATAATACGTAATCATCTCTGCTTTATTATCTAGAAATTATAAAGAAGAATACCATCCAAACATAATAAATTTTCATGTTTCATCAAGTTTTATCTTATTGGCAAGCAAATGAATAGCAATTGAATAAATTATCGAACATTTTTTTTATTTTTTGCGAAAGTTTTTCCTACATAAAATTTATCAGAATGGTATTTTTTCGAGAAGAATAAAGATGTTGTGACATTTATATCATTAGTTATATCATTAGTTATATCATTAGTTATATTAGTTATTGTACATATAAAGTAGAAAAATGAAGTATATTTTTAGCAGCACTACTATAGTATATTTTGCAACTAAGGTATTAATCATTTTATTACATTTTTAATTATATTACATTTTACATATTACATTTTCAATCATTTCAAATATTTTAATTTCAATATTAAGGAGAAAGCTTTATATAAAGATAAAAAATGTAGTATTAAAAAATAATATTAATGAAAAATAGTAATAAAATAGTAATAAAGTTAATAAAATAGAAAATATTCTTTTAAAATAGAACAGCTTTACTTGCACTCTATAATCAAAATATCATAAGCTAGAGTATTTCCATAGATAAAATATTGTACATAATAGTGTCAATATTTTATCTATA